TAGCAGTCCTTTATGTAAATCTGTGGACCAGGAGGTTCCCTATCTACGGCTCCTGGGCCTCTCATAGGAGATTCAACTGGCTCTGTCTCCCACAATGGCAAAGATTCTGATTGCCCTTCTACAGATGAAAATAGTATTTATCACTTAGGTAAGGTTATCTCTGTGTGTGCATGGTCTCACAACTCTTGATACAATGGGTTTAGGGCTTTCCTGAGAAACCCAGGATGAGTGGTGGCCTCCCTACATCAAATTCTTTTGACAAACCATATTTGCAGATTTCAGTACCTAATTATAGCACTTCCTAAAGTGTGGGATTGTAAGGAATCGTACCCCTGACTCTCACTGCATTCCCTGCCAGTTCAGATCAGAAGCCCTGGAAAACGTGGCCATTCCCAATCGCACTCTGTCACACTTAATTAGACGTAATTAGCAGAGACAACCAAAGGAGAAGGTGTGAGATTGTTCCCAGAAGGATCCCTCTTTCTAGGACCTGTGGCACTGTTTCTTCAAGAAGTTCTGGTTCACCCCACCATTGCTTACAGTCCACTCCCATCACCAGTTGCACCAGACCGTTCATAATGCTCTTGTGTCACGAGAAAACAGGTCCCCTGGTTGGCTACTTTCCATCACCAAAGCATATACATCCAACACACAGACATAATAATCATTCTTTGGTCTCATGTATAAAAGAAAGAATATTGAAAGCAAGGGATCATGAAGAAAATCAAAAGGAGAAGTGACAAAGCCTAGGCTACTATTTTGTTCTGTGCTGTTACTTTGTCACTGGGCACATTGAAGATTCTAGGGCAAAAAGCAAATAAATAATATTTCTTAGAATTTTGTGAATGGGTTGAAGCCAAATAACAGTATTAAGGTTTGTCTATTTCCATGTCTAACTGGAAACTTCATGAACCTTGACCTGCGTTCAAACACATTACCCTGTACTGCTCCGATGGGCCCATCTCTTTCCTTGTGCCTACTTAAATAAACATCTTCTTACAGTGCTAAGGGCTAGAATCCTAATGGTGATGGACAGAGGATTAAAACATAGTTTTACCCTCTCTTTCTGTCACATTGTACCTTATCACCCCAGAAAGAGAGAGTGCCACTAATGATATCATTTCAGGCCCTAGGCATTAAACACACACACACACACACACACACACACACACACACACACACACACACACACACAGATTTTGGTCCCTTTGTTTTCTATTATTTTTCCACTAACTCAGCAACAATTCTGAATATCCAAGTAAAAATTGCACGATTTCTCCTCAATAGTATAACATTGAGGAAAGTACTGTTGCGCTTGTAGTAGCTAGACATATTTTAGCTCGTGGTATTGGTACATTTTGTCAGTACTTCTGTGCTTCCTGCAAACCAATGCAGCCTCCAGAGTCTCACCTTTCTTCTGTTGATTGAGAAGTGGGTATACATCCTACAGATCTAATGGACTTGCAATGTTTCCCATCTTGTATTGAGCTCATTTTCACAATGCTATGTGAATGTTAAAACAGCCCTTACCCCAACATAGCAGAATCCAGTTTAACTAGAAGAAACTAAAGAAGATCAATGAAAACATTTATTTTAATATTCAGTTATGGGAAATTAAAAGTAATGTTTTTTAAAGTAATGTTTAAAGGGAGGAATATAAGCTATTTTGTTACTATTATGAATGAGTAAGTAAAAATTAAACAGAAAAATGTCTGAAGACTGAAGTGAAATTCAAGTTGAATAGAGGTTGGGAAGATAAGAGTTTTTGCCTTAAGTGGCAGAACTGATTCTGTCAGTAGCTATCATTTGCATATGCCATCATGCCATTTTCTGGAAAGATACATTAACTATGCCAAGAATATAAGCAATGCAAAAGCAACAAAGTTATAATATAGACACCTAGAAAAATAAATGTTCCATTGTAATTTCTGTCTGTGATGTTGTAGTCAAAGAAAAAAATGAAATAAACAATCTGAAATTTACCCCTGTAAGTATGAAAACTGGCATGCAGAATTAATCGCTATATAATGCCCATTAAGTAGCTGAATACATATTGCTAGTATGTGTACTATAAGACTGGTACAAGCAAGTAAATATGTAAAGATTACGAATGGGTAATTAATGGTTGTAAACGTATAGGATGTTTCCAGAAAAAAGCATACATACTTAGAAAATTGACCGTAGCACTGCTTAAACGATAGTTATTAAAGCAAAAGGAAAACCCAGTATTCTAGTCAGAGAGTTGAAATAAATTCAGAAATTAGTGAATATACCCTGATGGTAACAGCATGGGTTGGAAGATTGGACGTTAGAAGTGAGTTGTACAGTGGTGGGATACAGAGAATATATGTGTAATATTTATAACTTTACAAAGTTTGGTCATGGTGCAGAGGAGCTAACCACTGTCGATAGAGTCACCCATTCTTACCAAGGTCTGTGGTGTAATTATATAATGATCACTAAAAAGTCCCATGTACTTTTAGAACTATAGAAGTGGTTATAGTTATGCCAGTCTTAAATAGAGACGGGATTCTTGACATAGATGTAGTTTCTCGTGTTCCAGTTGGCATGCTTAACCTTACAGATATTTCTGATGAATTTTCAAAATGGTTGATCAGCAGCTTCCCAGCACTATTGCCATTCTCCTGTCCATATCAGATTGACAGAGACATTCCTCGTGCTAAAGAAAGGGTCAACTCTGTTTTCCTGCTTTGAGATGAAATTTTGTCTATGTTCTTCCGCTAGCTCAGGCCTACCCTGCTGATAGATTGGGAGTTAGTGGAGGACTGGATTTATTTACATCCGGTGCATTAGCCCAAGTGTGTAACACAGTGTCAAACAATTAATATATGGGATTAACTGTGCTGCACAGGATCAAGGGAATTAGGAATAAAATACCACCCATTATAATTTTTAAAGTAGTTTCTTATGTGCATAGAATGACATTATTATAAGTCACAATCCTTTTGTAGCTTTGATTTTTCAAAAGCTACCTTGGATGGAGACTATTTTAAATACCATACAGCTCAACTAGATGCATTCAAATAGAAAAAAGAGAGTGATTTAATCAGTGTAGAATGATAAGGTGTAATGAACAAATTCAGTCATTGTCTGACTTAAAGTAATACCAGCGGGCATTTCAAACCTTTAAATAGACTTGTGTGAAAGCAACATTATATACATACATATATATATATATATATATATACACATATATATAACATGTATATATTTATATACATGTATATATATACATATATATATACATGTTAAAACTTTTGTATCATAGGTTTAGACAGGAGATTGCAGTACAATTAAATTTAAGACATTACAAAGGAATTTGTCATCCATTTGATTTATGTAGTAACTCGATTAGTGTATTGATATGTCTGCATTGAGGAAAAGATGCAGTCTTCTTTGTTAGCAAGCAGCTATGTATTAGCATTATATTTTAAAGCACAGGCTTATCTAAGGGATATTCTGAAAACTTGTTTTTTAACCAGCAATATTTAAATCTAAGATCTTGAGACAATTGACGGTTCTAATAGTTTCTTGGAAATATGTAGTTTTGTCACTTTATTTGATTAACAGATGTGTTATGTATGCTTACATTTATTGCATATGTATTAAAAACCAAGGTAGAAAAGAGGGCTTCTTAACACATTTTCCCGTTCACTTTAATAGTGTATATCATGACTGGAACAGTCTTATTCTCAATGAAAATTATATTTGGCCAAATAGGTTTGAAATAATGGCCATGGAATTGTAAATGAGGAAATTTCCCAGGAGATCATCAGATGTGTGCTTCGATATGTGTAGGAATGCATAGAATCGGTATGGCTGGACTTGCTCCCTTGTTCATATACTTGTTCTTCAGGAGCCAGATGGCGCTCATGGAGAGCACGTGTGTTCTCTCCCTGCTTTTCACTTCCACTGGCTTCATAATGCTTCAGTGGATGTGGCTTAGAGTTATTCTTTGAGCAGTTGCCATGATTCTTAAGAAGAAATATTTTTCTTCTAGACTTATAAGACCTTGGAGACTGAAGACTTGAGACTTTTTTTCAAGTTTAAAACCATAGAATAAGACAATAACCAGACAATAAAGGGAAGCATACTCAATTATTCCACTTACATCAAATTCAAAAACAGACACAGCTAATCTGCAAAGACACAGTACCGCATGATCTCATTCTTATGTAGACTATGAGACATCTACCCTGCAGAAGTTAAAAATAAAATAAAAGATGGGGGTAGCAGGGATGGGTGTGGGGGAGGGAGATACGTGGGTCTGAACAGTAATTACATAGAAATAAGAAGGTCTGGAATTTTGTTGCATACTAAAGTAACTATAGCATTGTCTTTAAGAGAAGAAATGATTTTGAATGTTTTCATCATAAACAATTCATGTTTAAAGTGACATGTTTACCCTTGTTGCACATGATGCATGTCTACTTCTATGAAAACATCACATGATCCACCAGAAATATGGATGGATTTTTGTCACTATGGTTTTTAAAAAACAAGACAATAATCTATCATCTAATCAAGCGAGCACGCTTCCTTGGGGGCTGAGTGACCAGGAGAAGCCGTTAAGGGGTTTACTTTTGGGAGATACTTGATGGGGATCCCCGGGTGTGGTTGCTAGCAAGGGCTCAGCTTGTGGATAATCATTGATGTTTTGAACCCATGCTATTCCTCAATAGAAAGTCTAATATAGCAGCAAGCATGAAAAACATTGATTTTCTTCCTCTAATTTTTAAAGTGCATTCCAACAGGGCACATATCTGTCACCAGTCACAATATTTGTGTCGTCCCAAATCACAGGATTTCAGCAGCTAGAACCAGGATAGGCTCTTCTGGCTGCACACCTGTGCTTCTGGCTTTTGTTTTATTTTCAATCACAAGCTGTGCTCATCAAAAGACTCATGACATAGACGATCGGTGGGGGAAGCCTGTTGCCCTTTCTCTATGAACTAACAACACTTTGTGCCATGTTGCAGGCGAACTGTGTGAGGAAAAGCTCGACTTCTGTGCCCAAGACCTCAACCCATGCCAGCACAACTCGAAGTGCATCCTGACGCCAAAGGGCTACAAGTAAGTCAGAGGCTGAGTTCAGCTCCACAGCTGGAGGAGGGGTCCTTCCTTTCATGTGCCCTGCCTCCCTAGCATTCTTAGCGTCACAGCCTTGCTCAGGATTCAAAGGACATAGTCACTGCTGTCAACGGCATATATGTTTAAATAGAGCATGGAAATTGTTTACTGCAATAAAGAACAATCTGAAGAAATATTCACGATTGTTCCATGACTCAAGGAAGTCATGGGCAGAATTAAGCATCCTTTGAATATGTAAAATTGTGTGAAGAACCAATCCAGGTAAATTTGTAGTATTGACAAGGTACATTGCTACTTGAAAATACCTTGTGGGTAAAGCAGTGGAACTCGTTTTAGAGAAACTAAAACGAAACTCTCCAGGATCAGGAATGTAGAGTGACTGCTGTGAATGAATCCAGAAAGGCTCCCGCACTCCGCTTGTCTTCATGCAGTTGCTGGTCACGCTGACTCTGTTTGCACCTTAACCCTGCCCTGTGCGGGATGACAAAGGATTACAGTCATACTAGGTGAAAGTGAACTGAGAAGTTTAGAATTTTTTCTTTTCCCTTTCTACCAGTATTTCTTTCTCTTTTATTTATTTTTTATTGGAAAGCCAGAGATACAGAGAGGAAGAAAGATAAGGAGAAAGATCTTCCATCCAATGATTCACTCCCCAAGTGGCCACAACGGCTGGAGCCAGGAGCTTCTTCTGGGTCTCCTACCCGGGTAAAGAACCCCAAGGCTTTGGGCCATCTTCTGCTGTGCCTTCCTAGCACAGGCAGGGAATTGTATAGGAAGCAGAGACACCAGGACACAAACTCTGGTACCTGTATTGGATCCTGGCGTGTATAAGGCGAGGATTTTAGTCTCTAGGGTGCCACGCTGGGCCCTCCCGCCAGTATTTCTGCAACATGTTTGATGTCAAGTTACATGATTCTTTTACCACAATGCTGAAATATTTTAAGTCTCTATCCTCATTTTCTCCTGTTAGAACTGGCAATTGTTGAAGGTCATCTAGTCCAAATTTGTCATCTTAACTAGGAAGAAAATGTTTCCAAGGAAAGGTGGGTGGCCAGCCTGAAATCTGAAAGCTCTCTATTGGCAGAGCTGCACCCGGCTTTTTTACAGTCTGTCTCATTGGTTTTTCTAATGGGATAGGAGGATGATTCCGAAAGTTCTTGAAATATCTATTTTTAAAAACTATTTGGGTTTCAATTTTTTTTTTTTTTTTGCTCCAACACAAACTCATGTTTTCATTCCAACATTTAAATTCCTCTCAGACATGTTTGTTCTAAGAAGCTTAGTAGTTTATTGACATTCTGTTTAGTTTGTTATAGAAAGTAGTCTGATTTCCTGAGGGTGACACTGTTGAGTTCATGAGTTTGGCAGTGCCTATAGCAGATGAATAGCAATTAGCATCATTTGTTCCTCCAGAATATTTACATATATATACTTACATGCACACACACGTACAAATAAAGGCCTCTTCACTTTTTCTATTGCTTCATAACTGTTCTAGTTCACATATTTCATCGTCTTGGTGAAATGATCCAAGCTTGATTTCCACTGAAGTCAGATGATTAAAAATTACTCAACTCAGGGATTTTTTTGTTAGCAGATTTGGGATCTGAGCTGAAGCACTGAGATTCTGATACCAAATAGATCACCAAACATTCAGTCACTCAAAGGAGTGGGGTAATTACCACCAGACCCCTACTGCCTTTCAGAGGTCAATCGGATTTCAACATTTACCCTCAAGTCCTCTTCTGACAATATTCTTTTGTTTCAAGCTCCCTTACAATCCACAATTTTGGATTATACAGATTGAATCACAACACCTACTGAGTTGAGTTAACGTGTAATCGAAGGGATAGGTTTGACTCTTTTTTCCAAGGTATTGTAGTTTACACTGTTTATTCAAAAGCACAAGACTCGCAAGCATTTTTCACTTTGTGTAAAATTCTGCATTAGGTTTCAATCAGCCAGATACCTGAGGGAAATTGTTTGAGCTCCTAATGGCTTTTCATCTGCCTGTAACTGAATATGACAATACACAGTCCATCCCTTACATAACAAATAAATCCATTTCTCAGAGAAATTAGTAAGGTAATATTTCTGATTTCCAGTACTGCTTATCTGCTAAACAGATGTGCTGGGGCTGTGTGCCTTACAATTATCAGATAAGATATTAGTAAGACTTAATGGAAGCCATTAAAAAAACGAGGAAGTTGTTCTTCAAAGAAACTAATCCTTAATTAAATATCCTCTATTTTTACCAATTAAATTGCACACTCTTAAAAGGACATTTTCTTGGATTGTGGATTAGCTGATTTCGAAACCCACTGTTTACAGCAGTAATTCATGAGCTTGTTTTGTATAGCTGCATCTGATTTAGCGGAAAATGTGTTCAGTTAAAGTATATGCTAAAAGTCCTGCCTTATAAATAATTGCGCATTGCAGAAAAGGTAGCTACAGAAAGAAAATGGACTTTAAAATTCAAACAATAAGAAGCCACTAAAAAATTCCACTGACAAGTTGTTGGTTGGAGAATGTGTTGCGTTACTTCAACCTTATTTTTTTTTTATTACTAAGCTCACAGAGCTGGATTTGCTTTTCTTGCTGTATTATAGAGCTCATAAATCTCTAAACCACTTGGAGATATTTTTGGAGCATGATATGCCATCAACAGTATTTTCCAGCATGCATCTTGCTTAGTCTGCTTTTGGACTTCGAAATGGCATATTTTATCTTCTTTGCTTTCTTCCCCACTCCTTCTTAGATAAAACTGTTGAAGGAATAGGACAGGTTTTTATGGATAACATAAATTTTAGGGAATTTTTTTACTTAAATGTTTTCTTTCTGTTTTGAAACTCTGGAGCAAAAATAAGACACACACACCAAAAGTCAGTCATAATGTAACCCCAGATCCTGTTTGAGCTTCCATAATAGTATTTGGAGAGAAGAGAATATAAAATAGCTCTTAGACAGCCGCTGTGGTGAATGTGTGGTTCTCTTATCTTTTACTTTGATTTCTTTTCTCAGATAAATAATTCAGAGTGTTTCAAAGCATTCCTTCTCTCTTTTAATGCTTGGTACTTCAGCAGCTCTGCCCGCATTAACGTTGATGGAAGTTCTCTTTGCAGGCCTTGTCCATCTCTTCAAGGCTGTGTACGGCCACTTAGGAGCCATTTCACTTCAGACATGTTGTTTAGTTTGCTTTATTATGATTTAGCATTAAAATCAAGTGGGTACAGAGCTAGCACACTGATGGAGTGAGCTCATTTTGTTTCTTGTACATACATGCAGAGCTGAAAGCATGTTTGCTACTCTTAGGGAAATAGAAGTATTCATCCCATGTGTGTTTATTCATCAGCTATTCAGTAACTCTTAAATGCTGACTTTCTGTTTCCTGAAAAAAAGTCTTGGCACTCTGCATTGCCACATTTGTTTGGATGACTTTAGTTATCTTTATTCAACTTAAATGTTAATAAACTTGACAACAAACAAAAAAAAATTGGTTGTGATTACAAATCAAAGCATAAAGTTTATAGAATTATGACATTTGTAAGCAATTATTTAAAAATACCAACATTTTTCTTTGGTATATTTAAAAGTAATACTGATTAGTTTATAGTTTCTTTATTTTGTGCTTACCAAACCTGTAAGGTGACAGTTGTAATGCTCATATTACAGACAAGCAAAGGGACATCTGAGAGATGTTGTCGGGATAAGATTTTATAGTAAGTGAGTTAAGCCAGACACAGAAATACAAATATTACATTATCTCATCTCTATGTGGAATTTTAAGAAGTTGAACTCACTAAAAGAGAATAGAATGATTATCAAGGATTGATTAGCCAAGCCTGGGAATGAGGGATTGAGGAAAATGTCCTTCAAAGGAATGTCATTAAGCACACAGGTAGAAGATGCATAAATGGGGTGCTGACTAGCTCATAATACTCTGCTCTATGTTCTTTTTTTTTTTTAAGATTTATTTATTTATTGGAAAGTCAGATATACAGAGAGAAAGAGAGACAGAGAGGAAGATCTTCCATCCAATGATTCACTCACCAAGTGAGCACAATGGCCGATGCTATGCCGATCTGAAGCCAGGAGCCAGGAACTTCTTCTGGGTATCCCACACGTGTGCAGAGTCCCAAAGCTTTGGGCTGTCCTCGACTCCTTTCCCAGGCCACAGGCAGGGAGCTGGATGGGAAGTGGAGGTGCCAGAATTAGAACTGGCGCCCATATGGGATCTTGGCACGTTCAAGGCGAGGACTTTAGCTGCTAGGCCACGCCACCGGACCCTATTGTCTTTTTATTTTAAAAAATACTTACTTACTTTGTTTGTTTGAAAGGCATAGCTACAGAAAGAGATAGGTCTTTAATCCTCTGGTTGACTCCAAAAATGGCTGCATCAGCTAGAGCCAGGCCACGCCAAAGCCAGAAATTGAGTCAGAAACCAGGAAAAACCACTTCTTATACGTTTCCTACCCCAGTGCATGGGCCCATTTCTTTGGGCTGTCCTTCACTACTCTCCCAGGCACATTAACAGAGAAATGGATTGGAAGTGAAGCAGCCTTGAAAAGAACAAGAGCCTAAATGGAATGCTGGCATCATGAATGATACCTTCAGAAGCCACACCAGACTCACGCTGTGTATTGTTAATATTCTCATCTCAAAAGAAAAATGCTGACTGTGTGGGATGATGGACGGCTAATACGGAAGACCAAACCATCACATTGCACATCTTCAAAAGACACAATCTTGTGGCTTATGCCTAAATAAACCTGAAAAAAAAGAGATTCATTTGTTAGAGAAATATAAACCATTAAGTTAGAGTTAAGAATGAAACAAGAAACAATTGATTCTATGTAACTGCAAATATGAAACTCTGTGGAACTAAGCCATAATTTCCTGGCTTAGGTTTGTTTGTGTTTTAAGTTAGTAAACCCTCTGAAACCCAAAAACATAACACACACAAAAGCCAATGCACAAACCTAATAAAATCACGACAGGGGAATTCTGGGCTATGGGCTGGGGGCAGAGAGAAGTTGCCAGAAGCCCCCTGCTCGTCCACGACCGTACCTGTAAGGGTTCTTCAGTGGCCCTAGAGGTTCCCACAGCTCACACTGCTTCCCACCCACCCCCGCCCTGGGACTCTTGATGTCACTTCAAAGGATTCCAATGGTTACTAGTAAAGGACAGGTCTTAAAGGAAGGCCTGAGGACGCAATGGTCCAGTAGTGTACTGTGGAGGTTAGCATCCAGGCTCCTTTGTCAAGCTCGGTGCACTTGGGCAAGGCGATTCACTGTTTTACTCCTGAGTGTTACTGCCTACAGAATAGGCATGATGGTATCTCCAGTGCCACAGAGCTGGAGAGAGAGGGTCCAGTGAGTCCATGGGTGTCATGCGGTTGCAACAGGATCTGGTTCTGAGTATGTGCTCCAAGCATCCCAGCATGACATTGTCCCTGATTTCGCATCGTCAGAGCAGCTGGGGCCCCTGCCTGGGCACCAACACCTGTGCAGACTGAAATGGCCCTGAGATTGGCCCCAGAAATTTTGTTTCATTTCCCTAATCTTGTTTCATTTCATCTCACTGGGGTCAATCTCATTCTAGCATGTTTACCTGGATTCAATGTGAATTAGAATATATTCTGTTAAAATACATTTTGTCCCAAATCTGGTGTTCAATAGAAAGTAAACCAATGTTAATAATTTTTAAAATCAGGTTTGTATTCTGAATAGACCTTACAACATAATACTTGAATAGTTTTAATAGTGGAAATGATGTAGGCAGAACTCAAAGTACGGGCAGCTAGGCAAATAAAGTGGGAAGGAAGAAGGAATGATGAGGCAAAGGCAGCCGGGGGAGGTCTTGGTGGAGGGATTCTCTATTTGGATCGTGTTTCTCAGAGAGTTGAAATCACTGCCCCCCTGCCTTGTCACCACAGGAAACGCAGCACACTTGGTAGGTCAGCACTGCTAGGTGTCCTTCAACTCGAGGGCTGCACGAGCCTGTTCCATTGATTTTCTGAAGATGGTGGCAATTGTTTGTTTTCTAAAAAGAATGCGTCTGTTTTAGTAGATCCGGCTCGGTTGGATTTAGAATCATTTGCCTGCTTGTTCACACAGGTGTGACTGCACTCCGGGGTACATAGGCGAACACTGCGATATCGACTTTGACGACTGCCAAGAAAACAAGTGCAAAAATGGTGCTCACTGCACAGATGCAGTGAATGGCTACACGTGCACCTGCCCTGAAGGATACAGGTAAAAGTGAAAATAGACTTTGACAGTTACAAGTAGGGCTGCCAGTTCTCACCTGACACTGGCGGTTCAGGAAAATCTGATTTCTTTGTTTTCTCCTTGTTCTTTAGTGGCTTGTTCTGCGAGTTCTCTCCGCCCATGGTCCTCCCTCGTACCAGCCCTTGCGATAATTTTGATTGTCAGAATGGAGCTCAGTGCATTGTCAGGATAAACGAGCCAATATGTCAGTGTTTGCCGGGTTACCAGGGAGAGAAATGTGAAAAATTGGTCAGTGTGAATTTTGTAAACAAAGAGTCATACCTTCAGATCCCTTCAGCCAAGGTTCGGCCTCAGACAAACATCACACTTCAGGTGAGATGCCCCCCTCTGGCAAGAGCTAATGTGATCGCAGGCCAAATTGAGCTCCCAGGAAGAAACACCCGGAGATGTGTTTCTTAAGTAGACCGAGATTCATGTCCCTGTGACAGAGCGCGCCTGCGTGGAGGCCTCAGCACTTCTCCCTTTAGATGCTTGCATTTTCAAGATGAAATGAAAACCAGGTATTTTTATTCACTACTTGATCCTACAAAAACACATACAACAAAATACAGTTTTTCACTGTATACCCCAGTAAATGGATTTTATGCCCCTGTTTTTGTGACTCTGCGGTGTGGCTCTGCAGGACCGAAGCCTGCCTTGAGAGCAGCACATAGTTGAGATAAAATGCTTGATTCAGCCGGTACCTGCCAGCAATTCACCCAGAACTTTGAAGAATGAGCCAGAAACTCACCACTTTATGTGTTTAAGACCATCCACCAAGTCATTGCAAATTCTGAGCAAGTCATTCCAACTTCCCAAATAGAATGCGTGAGCCCTAGGGCTCCCTGTTTGTTTTACTCGGTAAAGGACCTCCCTGAGGATCCGTGTATTTTGAGTTCAAGTGAGCACAGCTGGATTCCCGTAGACTTCAGTCCTTACTGGGTTTGCTCTGATACTCACTGTGCTTCTGAAGTCATAAGAAGCAGATAACCAAGCTGACGGGATTTCTTTAAAAATCTGGCTCTCAGGACTGGCATCTGGCCAAGTAGTTAGGATGCCTATGTTATATAACAAAGAATCTGAATTCTGGGCCTCTCCGTGGTACTGGAGTGCCAAAGGAAGTCAGTGAAATCTCCAGCAAAGAAGGTTCTAAGCACATCCAGCATATTCACGTGACTTTTGCGTAGTATTCCTTTTCAGTCTCTTTGTCACTCCATGTATAACAAAGTAATTTTGGAACAAGATTCCTTTCGAGAAGTATTTTTGAGCATGTGACATTTTGTCATAGCAACAAGAAGAAAATAAACCATGGTAGAGGCTCTCCATTTCTCTTGAAATCTGATGCTTTTTTGATAGAAAATGATGAGCGGCCTGTACTCCCCAGTAATGTCAAGCTTGCTTCTCACCAGATTGCCACAGATGAGGACAGTGGCATCCTGTTGTACAAAGGTGACAAGGACCACATCGCCGTTGAGCTCTACCGGGGGCGTGTCCGTGCCAGCTACGACACCGGCTCTCACCCGGCTTCTGCCATTTACAGGTGAAGATCTCTCCCTTACTGGTAAAGGTGAAAAAAAATGTTTCCTGAAGAACTGCTTCTCCTCTATTGTTCTTAATGATCAGGGCAGGGGAGTGGAGGGACCATGTGACTTGGGTAGGCGTTTTTGTCCAATTGTGTGATCTCAATATAGAATATCAGAGAGTAGGTTGTTTATAGGGAACAGAAATTTCTTTGTCCTATGTCTGGAGACTATGAAGGGCAAGGGTCCTGCATCTTCTGTTCACCTGCTGACTGCATTATCTCAAAGCAGGAGACAGAAGGGCGAGAGAGTACGTGTGGCCAGGGTTGAAGAGTTAGCGGAGCCCATCCCTTCATAAGGAATCTACACCTGCAACAGCTAACCAAGAATGGCACTGATCCGTTTGTGATGAAGTCACCTGTTCCCAAGCTAGGAGCCTGCGGGAAACATTCCAACCGTAACAGCAGGGTTTCAGATGCCCTGAGTCTCGGCACCAATGCTCTGTTGTTCCGAACCAAGTTTGAAGGTTCATCTCTCCAAGTGCAGGACTCCAGCCTTCCAGAGGAAGGGCATGGCTCCACAAGCAGGCAGTGATTCCAGAAAGGAAGCCTACATAAACTAAATCAAATGCAAGAAAAGAATAGGTACTCATATTTTCAAGTGTTTTTTAAAAAAACTACATTTTTATGTAAGTGTTCCTCTATTATGGAGAGCCTGGTTGCTGAAAATATCACAAGGAGGATTGTAACGAATAAATTTAAAACAAATGCTTGCAGTAGAACTGCAGCTATTCGATTCTGCCTGAATACTGCCAGGGAGAAACATGGACCCACGTTTATCAGACTCCTTGTTTTGCAAGAAAAGGAAGAAATACAATTTTTAGATTTATTTTTAACTTTTTAAAGTTTGGTGAATCCTTTTAGTTCTTAAGGACCCTAAGGGAGTTTTTCTCCCCTCTTGGTATCAACGTGCATGCTTTAATGCCGAGTACGACTGACAAAACACATCTGTGAGCCAAACACAGGTATCAGGGGTCACAAGTGAAATGGACTTAACTGCAGCTGAAGTGTTGACAGCCGCCTCTGTCTTGGTGGTATTATTCCCACGTGCATAGATGTGCTTTAAAGATCTGCTCATCCAATCTACTCCCTCGTGATAATCCTCGGAAAGTAGATGCCAGTTATAGCCATGCGTGGAACTCTCTTTCCCTTCTGGTGGGGAAGATTAAGAGCAGATAAAACACATAATTTCTGGTTTCCAAGTGAAATACGACAGTCATTTTAGCATAGGAATTAGTGCTAACCATTTGGATATTACCAGGTCTTAAAATGTAGAACCTCTAAGTGTTTCACAACCCATAAAGCAATTTCATAAATGTATGGTTCATGTTTTAATTTTTTGGCGTGTTTTACTTTATGCAGTGAAGCTTTATAAAGTTCTCAGAATCATAGTGAAACTCCAGGGCTAATGTACATTTCCAGACAAGTTGTTGAAAGCCAAGCGATTGTATCCACATGAGAAATTACAAAGCATTTTTTTAGTCATGTTTACTACTGATTTTCCTACCAAGCAGTGGAGGACACCCTGTGGCATTTATGAAAATAACATCATGCTGCTAAAAACGATGTCATTGTCGCACACTCGTTATTGCACACCGCAAGTACGTGTTTCTGTTGGAAGGTCATCTGGAGATAAACAATGTGAAGTGCCGGGCAAACAACTGTTGTTTAAAAAAAAAAGCCAGTTTGTTTATTTTCATTTATTTGAAATGCAGACAGACCAAGAATCATTGGTGTACTTTTTAAATACCCGAGACAGCTAGGGCAGTGCTTGCCAAGGCAGGGGGCGTGTGTGTCATTCTGGCCTACCTACGTCAGTGTCACTTGCTGCTCTTGGGGATTCATGTGAGCAGGAAGCTGAAGCTAAGAACTGGGATTCACAGCACACATGTCAACACAGCATGCATCAATCCCAGGCCACTTAGCCACCATACCCATTGGTCACGGTAGAAAGCAAGGCTTTCAGTCAAAAACAACAACAACAAATAGAGAGGCTTTCCGTCCTGCCTTTCTGTTCATAGCACACCAGTCCGGCAAGCGCTTACATTCCTTTTCTAGTAAAAGACCCCATTCACTAGAACGCAGAAAGACATGCACGGTCTATCTATTTGTATTATTTTACATTCATTGTATATTAGAAAGAAAGTAACAAAGGAGAAAAAAATGAGGAAATTCTGTGTCTGATATTGAAGGATTTCCAAGGCATGATACTTAATTTGAAAAAAAAAAAAAAAGTAATCCGAACAATGTTATCTTTTCATGTTTTTGAATTCAGAAAAGCCAGGCAAGGAAAGAACGGGAAGCGCTATACACAAGCCTTCGCATTGAATGTCATTTGAGGCCACTTTGATTTTTATAATAAAGCACTATCATTATTACTCAAAAATAAAATTGAAGTACTAGAGTAGAGCTCTGAATCCAGCCAGCTTGACTTCAGCCCCAGCTCTGCCGTTCCCTAACTTGGTGTTTTTAGCAAGTTGTATCCACCCTTTGGGACTTATCAGGTAAATGGGGCTAGCAAGGGACAGTGCCATTTTCATGAGTTTGTAGTGACAATTTTATGATTTTCCTTAAAAGCATTTATTTTTTGAGATAACATATTTTTAATTTATAGTGAAAGGTCTGTTGTTTCTGATAAATAAAGATTTCAGTTTTAAAAAAAAAGGACCATTGACCATTAGGGATAGCAGGCCAGGAATATAAACTATAATCAAATGTAAAAAGTGTTATGATTTTGGTTCATACAGAAGCCAGAACTCTGTGTGGCAAGTAGTGGACAGGGGTTGTTACTCTCATCACCAACCCAGAAGGTCCCAAACTGAGGGTTTCTTTCATTAGTTTTACATCAGTTCGGCATCCAGTACACCTTTTTAATGTGTTTCATTGACAGTCTTTATTTCACTGAGACACATTACCAGCTACTTGAGAGGCACAGGTGTCCTGGACTTCCTCTTAACTTATTCTGTCCTTCACCTTCTTGAAAGCATCCGCATCCTTACTCTGTATATAAAGGCCAGAAAATGCCAAGCACCGTATTGCTGGGGACCTTACCAGAGCAGAAAATCTTTTGAGGAAAAGCAACTCTTTTCTATTATAGTAAAACATATAAACAATTCACTGTTGAGAGTCAGCTTTCCTTAGAGTTACTAAATTAATATTTTGCTTGGTTGAAGCAAATTCTCATGTATTGATCATAACATTGTTAAGAGCACACCAGGCTGACATTTTACTTTACCGAAACATCATTTTCTAAACTACAGACTAATAAAACGCTATTGGAGCTTTGTGCATGGACACAGTGGTGTATGTCAGGTGCATCGCTTCAGTTATCTGGTTAGTTTTCAACATGTGGGGAGTTTTAGTAAATGTAAATTTACTAAATGTAAATTTTTAGTAAAAGTAAATTTGTTTTAGTAAATGTGATCTGATAAAATTAAGGAAATCCCTTGAAGAGCACGTGCCAACACAGACTGCTGGGTACCACCACTGGTTTCCTAGTCAGTATGTCTCCTGTGGGCCGGGGAGTATCTGCAGTTCCAGGGCAGGCTGTACTCTGATGGTGCGCTGGACAAACAATGTTTGTGCAATGTGTTTGAGCTGTGCTCTGCGAGCAGTGGGTGACCATTTCTTCCCACACCTAAGGCGCTCCACATCATGCTTCAGCCGTGTTGGAAGTGTTTCCACCGCAGAAACTAGGAGACTACAAATTCCAGCTGCTTTTAGTCTTCCCACCCCATTCCCAAAGGAGCTGGTTATTAAACATTTTGCAACACGTGGCTGTCTATAGGGCTATAATCTGCAGTGACAGAGCTTAAGTCAAGGTCTCTCAATTGAATGACTGTAGTATATGGGACATAAGTCTCTTTTTCTAAGTTTGGAGAACAGCAAAGAATACTGACATGAATGGCTGAATGCATGATGAATGACTGAATGGATGGATGGGTGGATGGATGAGTGGATGGGTGGATGGATGAGTGGATGGGTGGATGGATGAGTGGATGGGTGGGTGAAAGGAAGCCCAAACTTGAAACTTACATCAGTAGTCGGCACTCAGACAAGAATGGAATAATACTTTTTTATTCCAATATAGATTAATAATTTGGTGTCATTAAATGCAATTTTATTGTAGTCTACATAAGAGGAGCTATTTTTTTTAATTAATGAAAATATGTGTTCTTTATATTCAAATTAATTTCATCCTTAAAATCAGACAGTTTCTTTGAAATATAGCCAACTTACTCTTTTTTTTTTCAAGATTTATTTTATTTTGCAAAGTCAGATATACAGAGGCAGAGACACAGAGAGGCAGATCTTCCATCCGATGATTCACTCCCCAAATGAATGAAATGGCCTCTGTTGCGCCAATCCAAAGCCAGGAGCCAGGAACTTCTTCCAGGTCTCCTATGCAGGTGCAGGGTCCCAAGGCTTTGGGCCATCCTCGACTGGTTCCCCAGGCCACAAGCAGACAGCTGAATGGGAAGTGGAGCTGCCAGGATTAGAACCAGCGCCCATATGGGATTCTGGCGCGTTCAAGGCGAGGACTTTAGCCGCTAGGCCACACCACCGGGCCCCCCTAGCTTACTCTTTTGAAATCAGGAAGTTCGAGGGGTCACCTTCTCAGTGTATAGGAATATGCACGCAGTAATCAATTTCCGTTTTTACGGAACCTACAAACTTCAGGAGACTGCTGGCTACTGCTAGGTTTGCTGGGCCACATGGCCTTTGAATTGTGTAACTGACAGGCTCACATTTCACTAAAAAGAACAAAGAAATCCAGCAAAAAGACACTGTTCTGAGGCTTTGTCTCCTGGTAGGCACGCAGGAGACAGATTTGACATGGTCTTATTTTTTTTTTATTTAAGTTAATTTATTTAGAGTAGGTGAATAAATTTCATGTATTTCACAAAGCAGACTTTGAAGCTTGATGATATTTCCCACTTTGCCCGCACACCTGCCCGTGT